GCTGGAACTCCATAATCTATTATTTTATTTTTTAGTAACACTTTTTATAAAAATATCAAATTGTTTATCATACTTGCATCCATATTTCGCCCTAAATTCCATTCTATGACACTTTCTCTGTATCCAAATATCTATGTACATGACCACATTATTTATTTTTTAGTAATACTTCATTTAAAAGTATCATAATGTTTATTATAATTGCTATTCTAGTATTTTATCAGTTTTTTGCCTTAAATTTCATTCTATGATACTTGCTCTGTATCCAAATATCTATATGTATATGAGCACTTTATTTATTTTTTAGTACCGGTAATACTTATTTAAAAATAACCTATTGGGTATCATTGCTATTTCAGTATATTATCAATATTTCGCCTTAAAATTCATTCTATGTTACGTGCTCTGTAGCCGAATATAGATATGTACATGAGCACTTTATTTCATATATATATCTGCTGGAGAAGGGTCAAATCCTGATCATGTATTATTGTGTGTTACTATCCTTCAAATCACTTGCCAGTCATAATCAAGTATTATAATTTGATGTGTCCAAATTATAGTGTATAAAGAAATCTACTCATGATTTCATTACTATTATCAAATGTTTATAATTAAAGTGCTATAATAAAAGAATTTTCCCCATCTTTGCTTATAAAAAATCCATATCCTATTACATTCATTTTTAGTAGACAAATTTTCCAAATAATAGGTATCCTCGCTAACCCATTTTTATGCAGTTGATATGCAATACATGTCAACTTATCAGCTGAATAAATGATGATCTTAGGACAAAACATGACTATTTAGTACTTTCCAAATCAAAAATTCTGCATGAATAATGTATATAGTGAATACGGTATATGAGAGGTATTGAAGAATTTAACACCGAACCTGTTAAATGACCCGAAATGTTGTAACGTTGTCTCCCAGTCAAACACCTGAGCATCTGTTTTTTTTTATTATAATTTATATATGTTCATGGTTTGACGAACGAAATAAACTCTCTCTCTCAATTAGTTTAAAATACTGACTTTTGGACTTGGCTAATTTTATACATATCAAATATTTGCATATCAAAACTTGTCATTTATTTCGTTCCATCCATGTATTTTCCACATGTTTTTCCAATAAAACATACTTACGCCTTACTACTGTGATTTGTAGCTTATTATTGTTAGCTAATTATTTTTGAGGTGGGGCGCAAGACTTCACAAATTCTAAAAAGGGGGTGCGGCTTGAAAAGTTTGTATGTAGTAGACCCTAACCTGGTACACGTGGTTCCGGTGTCTACCAACTGGGTTTACATACTTCAAAAGTACCTTTTTGTAGTACAGTTGTGAAACAGAAAAAGCTGAATGTCGGTCTTATTCCATCTGTAAATTTACCAAAAACTCCACAAAGAATGAACAATGTGTATCGATGAAATGAAAAGTGACATATAAAAAATACAGAAGCTGAAAATATTTTGCATTACAGAAAAATTAGTTCACATATTAATTAAATATTTTACATTACAAAAAAGGGTGCTCCAGAAGTATGTGTACCAATATGAAGGTAACTAATTTTGTTCACCTAATTTATATCAAGTTGTGTAAATGGACTAAATTCTATCGGTAGGGGGATATTCACTTGTGTAACACAGACAATTCCCGAACTTTTAATAGAACAAAAATAAGGAGAATCGTAACCTAACCTGGTACACATACTACGAGAGTACCGAAAAAACAGCCCACATAGTAAAAGCAGTTATGGAAATACTTTACATTACAGAAAAATTAATTCACATAGTAAATAGCAGACGAAGGAAATATTTTGCATTGCAGAAAAAATAGCTCACATAGTTAATAGCAGTCATGAAATATTTCTCACTATTGATTACAAAAGTATAATTGCATCCAAATCAACAGTATCTATACGACTATATAAAGGATCGTTAAAATTAAATATTACGCAAGAATCATATTGATAACAAAATGTATTCTAATCAATTTTAATATATCTAAAACAAAATCTTCATAAATATTTTTTGTAAATTTACAATACACGAAAATATGTGAAACAAACTCAGGTTCTCCATTACATAATACACACATTTCATTCCCTGCTTTTCTTCCAATTTCTGGCTTTTGTTTTCAATGGCAAGATATCCCAGAGTAATTTATAGTTGAAATCAGTATTTTTAATAAGTAAACGAATAGCTCGCAGAGCCATGTGATTCATATGGAAGACAGAGCTATGATTGAGAGAGGCCGTGGTTCGCCATATATTTAGGCCTTCTTTTCGGCTTTCCCCTCCCCTTGGATAAATATGTAAATCCCATGTTATATTAATTAATAAATACATAAATAACCGCACTCCTCTCGGCGACTGGTTCATATTCTGTTCTGTAGATACGTTTTCTGTCTAATAGATATGCATCCCCAATAAGCATATGCTCATAGTTGTATGCTTTCAGCGTACCATACTTCGAAACCCAAAATCAAATATGTATTGAAGAATTAAAGACCTCAAGTCAAGTTAAAACATCCAATTTCGCACCCGACTCGGCTGAAGCAAGGGATTTTGGCAGCGAGCAATGCGTTTTCTTAATATGCAACGAACCATTTAGCTGGACGACGTAAAAATGCAGGGAACATTGCCATAATGAGCAAATCTTTGCAAGTTCCACTCATTGTATATATGCTCATTGAGTATACACAGGGTGTCTCAAAAGTAAGTATACACTTTTTAATTTGATTTTCTTTTCAGGTATTCATCATAAAGCGTTCATTTCTTTTGGAAACATAGTATGAATAAGTAGTAAAATTTAAGTATTGTTTGCATTTTTCATCAACCCACAGAATGACAAGGAGATTAACCCAATAAATAGGAGCGAAATTGCTGCTCACATATCGCGCACACTTCCCTGTCATTCCCGCATTTTAGTGCTGTACTCTCGTGACCTTTGTGTCCTTATATTTGAGCCATTATTATCTCTCTTGATTCACAGATTTCACACACAGACGGGATCTGGCGATTATGGAACCGCTACGGGGTACCGTACCGTACGAAGTGACTATTTGGTTTTGGTTCCGTTTGTCGTTCTTTTTTTTTCAATTTGGTCAAAAACGTATAACTGATTGATCGTTACATTTTTGTAGTAATTTTAGTTTTTCCAAAGTCGGGAAACATTCATTTCTGCATTGACCAATAAGATTTACATATTTATACCCGGAGAGAGGAAAGGGATACCGGTACCTAATACCGTACGGCTCAATCATATGACGTGCGAAACTGCAGTGAATATGCTAGATTTCTGTAACGGTACCGTGCCGTATGCAGGTAAATAGCCTACAGTATTATGTGGAAGATTATATACCTGTATACCGGTTCCGTAATGTTTCTTCCTACTTGTCTATAAGCTGCAGCTCATCTTCGCACCTTCTTGGTGTATAGGTATTCAATAAATATCTGAATGTTGAGGAATTCTTTACTGGCATGTCCCCGTGTTTATAATGTAATAAGCAAGAACATTATTATAAAAGTGGATTAGCAAATACCGGTATCTCTCATCACATAAAGAACAATGTTTTTTTGATTATCCATATGAGATTACTTTACTCTATGTCAGTATGTACTGATGTACAGATGTAAGACAGTACCGGTAAGAGGTAAAAAGTAATAGCTATAATTCTGTATCATGAGCAATATTACTGGAGTTGCAAATGAACACACTGAAAATAAACTAAATATGCATGCTATTTCACCAACAAATATAATCAGTTCTATTCAATTAAAGAGTCCAGCTGCACGCTAACACAAATGTATTTCTGTAACGTTCCGTCCGACCAGAGTCAGACTTCCTCAGACAAGCAGTTTACAACATTGTTGTAAACTGCTAAAATGTTGTAAACTGCTTGTCTGAGGAAGTCTGACTCTGGTCGGACGAAACGTTACAGAAATACATTTGTGTTAGTGTGCAGCTGGACTCTTTAATTGAATAGAATAGTCATCTTTATTCCAGCTACAGTATCCTTGCAGTATACGCATACGGATCCACTAGCATAAAGGCATAGAGAAAAGATAGGAAGTTAGTCTCGCGCAACCCAACTCAAATAAATATAATCAGTGCTTATAATTTTATTTATCATAATCCAGTAATCTATTGGCATTTGAATTTTTTGACTTATAGATAGAGATATCTGGAACGAATTGAATATTCCAAGTTGTTATTCAATATGGTAAATTCTTGATTTGGGGAATAATTTCAAATACTTTTATTTGAGAAATAATTAAGCAGTTGACATATGGTAGTCAGACTAAAAGATGTATTTGATTCTAATAACTGAATAATGATCATCTTAATAGTTATGAATTATGAAATTCAATCTTTTTTAAATACATTAGGGTATCTTTAAAATTTGTATGTGACAATTAGCTATAATATATTGCATGTATAAATTCCATATCAAAATATATTCTTATGACTATTTGGAAAAGTCACTGTATTTCAAAAGCCCCTGAAAATAGGAAAATCTACAGGAATCTAAATGATTATTGGCTCAAGATATCCTTGTTTTACTTTCAATTCTTCAAGTTAACTTGGCCGATTTGATTGAGTTTTCCAAAATCTCACTTTTAGGCTAGGCACTCATATTCCAGAGATATAATTATAAACTATTTTCGCTGCAATTGCATGTTGCTTTGGATACATATATTTAAATAGTTAAGAAGGTGTAACTTGGTATATGTCAAGAATTTATGTCTGTGGTGACTTTTGCAAAATTAATCCCGAGTTCAAGAAGAACACAGGCTTTTTAAAATGGAATATCAGCTTGTGGTTTATGGAATTGTATGGGTTGTAATGTATAAATTACAACTGAGTATGTATAAATTACTGAGAAGCTCCTGCTTTTACCTAATTGCCTTACTAAATACTAATTTTATAGATTTCATAAGTATAGCATTTATGCACTTGAGAAATTTAATTCATTATTTTTTCTTTTATTCTTCTGTAGTAACAGAATCATTGTTGAATTACTATGTTACGGTTTGGGTTGAGGAAACATGTCAGCTTCTGTCGTGGATTCTCAACAATGCAGAAAGCTTCACGGCAGCCTATCTTGAGATCTCCAAGAAAAATGTGCTGTCGGTACATGGGAGGTCATGGACCAGATATATCAGTAGCAGAAGGCATCGCATACATAGTTGTCGGTGGTGGTGGAATTGCACTTTGGGGAGTGTACAAGACTGTGCAAATGCGTGAGAGGATTGAAGCGTTTGAAACTGGAAAAGTTATCCCATTTAAAACACTCACCGATGAAGAATTTTTTGCTTTTAAAAAAGAATTTGCAAGATTGTATGGGGAAGAGGAGGATGAAGAAGATAATGATATACAAGAAAATGAAGAGCAATCTAGAATTCCTAGGGGCATTGCAAAATCTAATAAAGATACTGTTATATTCGTTGATGCCTCAGAGGATTAATCAAGTTCAACCCACAACCAAAATGAGGACATAAAAAAAGCATCCAACTCGAAAGTTGGCCAACTCATTCTCTTCTGATGCATATAATCTGTTTTTGCTTGTGAATGATTTACTGTCTATTCAATCCTAATTCTATTTTTTTGGCATTTCATGTCATTAGATATCAAATAATATTAGTTATATGTAAAAGTTTGCTCAAAACAATTCAATTGTGGCAAATGGATAGTTTTACGAGTTTATGGGGAATGGCTATTGAAGCCTTTCTACACCAGAACAAGGAACCAGTCTATGATCCTACTTGGGAAATAGATCTTTGTGCTTGGTGCGGGAGTTCTTTTTACGAAGTTGGTAGGTTTCAACCCACACTCTGCACTTTGTGGTGTCGTCCTGAACAGGGCAGCATTTTAAGAAACTTCCACAAAACACCTGACAATGGTGCTTCACGTAACCGCTGGTCGGTTACGGCTTCTTCCACCATCAAGTCCATGCTTCCGAAAGCAAATACTGTACCTCGCTAACTAATACCATACCCAACCTGGACTGGTAACCGGACGAGAGGCCGTGGTTCACCATATGATTAAGCCGTCTTATCGGTTTTTCTCTCCCCGGGATAAATATGTTAATTTTCCTATCCTATCCAATGAACCACATTAACTAATAACTGAAAAACTACTGCCATGGAGACGTCTTTTTGGACTAAATTTGAATGAAATCTTGGGCTTCAATGGAGAAAGAGCATGGCAATCACTTAATCTAAATGTTTATCTGGTAATAGAGCCCGTAGCTGAAATTTCTTCATTCTCACGGTCGAGTATGCCTGTTCAGAACTATACTTGCTTGCAAATTGACAAATCCATATTTTTACATTTCTCGAAACTTGATACTCGTCTTCAAGAATAGAGCAGAACTCAATGAATTTTGTTGGGTGACAAACGTCAAATTTTGTTTCAAGTCGAGCAATCCTCTCGCATATAGTTAACGATTTATCAGATAAGCGAAATTGTAAGTCTTGGATTGTAGCCATTGAATACCGATAACTCTAAAACTTTTAAGAGTTTAGGCAACCAGACATTGTTAATCTCGAACCATCGAAATCTTCTGTTCACTACCGGTACTGAAGATCCCGCGTTTCGGAACGGTGTATGTATGTCGCATTCCAGGTAGCCTACTTCCTTTACTGGTGTCATTTTGGGAAAAGATTAATTGCTCCACGAATCTTGAAAGAAAGGGCTCTAAATTATGAATGGCAGAATCGAAATTATGCCACATGATAGAATGCCGTTCAAAAATTAAACACGCGATTTTTACAAAATATTTCTCGATATGTATTTTGTGACTCTCCCAAAATGCGCTCCCGAGTTACATAAAATAATGGACAAGGAACCCTGAATGATGAGATGGTGACAGCACATTTGAACCTACGTACATTTGAACCCGTACATCTGAACCCGTAATTTGAACACAATTGCACCTATGGACATTTGCACCTACGGACATTTGAACCCATACATTTCCACCCATAGATTTTAGCACCCGCATATAGATTGAACCCGCGGACATTTGAACCCATGTACATTTGCACCCGCGGACATTTGAACCCATGTACATTTGAACCCACAAACATTTGCACCCGCGGACATTTGAACCCATGTACATTTGAACCCACGAACATTTGCACCCGCGGACATTTGAACCCATGTATATTTGCACCCACAGACATTTGAACCCATGTACATTTGAACCCACGAACATTTGAACCCTGGACATTTGCACCTGCGGACATTTGAACCCATGTACCATTGCACCCACGGACATTTGAATCCCTTATCCTTCCATGCTATATACTATAGTATATAGGATTGGAAGGTACACTTAGGATTCTTTCTCCAAATGCATACGTTGCGAAAACAATCAATATTACATTGGAATTCTCGATTATATACTCGAAGGCTTTATTACAACTATTTTTTATATATATTTAAATTATATTATATATTTATATTATACTCCGTCTGTCATTGTCATCGCAATTGTCGATATCATAAGACTCAATGGACAAAATGTTCCGCTGTAGAATGCGAGCCAAAATTGGGGAGTATGATTTGTGCTTTGAACGGTCGACGACTCTTGAAGAGCGCGAGCAAGGATTTTAATTGATGTGTTAGTTCGATCCCGCGCAAGGTTATTCCTCGCATCAATGCCCTTTTTCCCTCGCAGATAGTTCGATCCCGCGCAAAGTTTTCCTCGCATCAATGCCCTTTTTCCCCCGCAGACAATTCCAAACTGTTTCTTCAGGACGTTGCAGCTGCGAAGATGACAAGTCCCTTTGCGAAAATAAGTTGGAAACATGGCGCCTACATTTTCCAAGACCACAAGAGTAAACGACTTACTGATTTACAAAGGCCACGAATATTGTAAGCAAAATGATCGGGTTTCAGATGCTACTCATTGGCGCTGCCGTCAGTTTAGGAAATTTCGATGTAAATCGACTGTTGTTACGATCGGTGAAAATGTAATAAAAGAACTAGGATATCACAGTCATTCTGGCGACAGCATTAAGACTGAAGTTGGGATCATCCGTGCAACATTAAATGAAGCAGCATCAACACCATCAAATACATCGACAAGATATATTTTAGGTGAAGTATTGAATAATAGATCAACAGATGTACTAATGCGCTTGTCGGGCAAGTCGACTCTGGAGGCTAATATACGCAGAGTAAGGCGACAAAAAAATTTTTCACGTACGAATCCTACAAGTGCAAGCTTTGATATTCCGAGCGAATATTTAGATATCATTTTGCATGACACTGGCCCGGAGGATCGTCATCGGATAATGGCCATTGGAGATCGATCACTACTTGCACATCTAGATAGTGACACATATCTTGGCGACGGTACATTTGATGTGGTGCCCGAAATTTTCTTCCAGTTGTATACAATTCACTGTAAAGTGGGCGCATCCTATCCACCATGCGTATATTTCCTATTACGAGACAAGCGACAAGAAACATACGTTCAGATGTTGGAAGTGTTGAAAATCATTTTCCCAAATGCTAACCCCACCAAAATCATTGTTGATTTTGAAATAGAAGCTATCAATGCATTCCATGCACAATTTCCTCTGGCCGATATTAAGGGATGTTATTTTCACCTGTCACAAGCTATAATTCGAAAAGTTGGTTCTATCGGATTAAAAGAGAAGTCTGAATGTTTACCCTCTTTCAATCTGAAAATTAGAAGTTTGGCAGCTCTGGCTTTTGTTCCCATTAACGAGGTTGCCGAAGTCTTCACCTTGCTTTGCGACACCTTCGAAGATTCGCCCGAATGCAATCAACTTTTGCAATATTTTGAATCTACCTACATTCGTGGACCTCAAGTGGGTTCACGTCCCAAGAGAAGCAAGATTTCCCCCGCGATTGTGGAACTATGCCAAAGAGATTGAAATGATGCCTTCGGCCCCAAGAACAACAAACGCTGTAGAAGGATTTCACAACGCCTTACAAGGAATGTTCCGATGCAAACATCCGAGTATATGGGGTTTGCTGAATGGCCTACGAAAAGACATTGCGGTCCACAAACTGACTGCGGCAAACGCTCATGTAAGAGTTACGGCCCACCAAAGATCAAAGTATGTACAACTTGCTGTTAGGTTGTCAGTTAAAGTTTTTCCATATGGAACTGAAACCGACAAGCTGAGGTATCTCCACTCAATAGCTCAAATGTAGTCTGTTTGATTTTGACTTTGATCGTGATATCGTAAAATTTCGTTTATCGTCATTATTTTGATTTGTTGTTTAACTATTGTATCATAATTGATAAATTCCTATTTTGTAAAACGTCCATAGCTACTCTATCTCAAAATTGATCGCCCATTCGACACAAATTTGTGAGTGATAACTTTATTGAGATATTAAAATAAATGTAATCCGAAACCTATGACGTCGTTTGTAAATTGCAATATCATATTTAACAGACCCTGTATGCTGAATATGTTCGATTTACTCTAAATAGTGTAAACAGCAAAAACCATTTTTGGCCACGATAATGATTTCAAAACTTCTTCACTTTCGAATATTCAACATATTTACATGACTTACGATTTCTATGTATAGTTTTGTTCTGACATTCTAATGAAACAATACTTCAATAAAACTGGCATTTGGCTATGAACATGTTGTTACAAAAATGGCATAGTTTCATTATCTTAATTTCATATTTTCTTAGAAACGAAGAATCTGTGCGTTTATTTATTTATATACAGACAATAGTATTCAATTTATAGATTGGTTTTAGGAAAAATGGCAAAACCTGATTTGAGACAACACTCATTTTCAACAGTAAAGCATGGTCGTGTATGCATACATATAACAATTTTGTAAACATGCTAGCAAGAAAACATGAAGTGGCCACAGGGCTCCCAAATCTCATGCTGGGCGGGATATTATAGTAAGCGTTTTCGGTGCAATAATTTCAGAACAAATTTATAGGAGTTGACCACTAAAAATATTACTGTAAAGCTAGTTTTAGTAAAACCCTCATTTAAGACTTCATTGGTCTGTGAGATATTTGTTCCGTATTAGCCCTGGTTTCAGGTATTTCAACGAAATACCGCTTTCTAGGTCATCGTCTGTTTTGGAGATCGCGGCTAACGAATGAGATAAGGATTTACAAATGTCAATGTAAAAAAAACAGCAAAAGAAAAAAGACCTTGGCAGAGACGTTTATCCCTCGGACTACAATGACACTCACAAATGCTTGCTTCGTAGAAGCTGGTAAATGCATATACACCAAAACTAACTACAAGTGAAACAGTGTTTAAATTTGGAACATTGAGCTTGCGACTGTAACATGAAAAATATTTGCGACTGGAAATTGCCGTTGGGGCAAACATTTTTTTGTGAAAATGTACGCGAGTTCAAATGTACGCGGGTTCAAATGTACGCGGGTTCAAATATACGTGGGTTCAAATGTCTGTGGGTGGAAATATACATGGGTTCAAATGTCCGAGGGTGCAAATGTTCGTGGGTTCAAATGTACATGGGTTCAAATGTCCGCGGGTGCAAATGTCCAGGGTGCAAATGTTCGTGGGTTCAAATGTACATGGGTTCAAATGTATGCGGGTGCAAACGTACACGGGTTCAAATGTCCGCGGGTGCAAATGTACATGGGTTCAAATGTACGCGGGTGCAAACGTACACGGGTTCAAATGTCCGCGG